CCTGTGCCCCTCCCTGCTTAGGCCTTCCAACCCTCATAGTCTACCTCATTACTTTAATTTTACCTATAATGCACTCCTTCTATTAGCATGCCTGATTCACAAAGGCCCCTTTCTAGCCTCCTGGCTTACACTTATGCTTCCTGTTATACACACAGCCATAGACTTGGGATGCTCTCAGTCTTGGTCAGAGAAGTTTCTTTGTATAGTGGGCAGCAGTCAATGGAGAGATATTTAATTGGTCAAAGTATTGAGAACAACAGAAATTCTGCTCAGCCATAAATGGGACATCTATATTGATCTCATTACCACCAAGGCCCAAGAAACATTGAGAAATAAGAGGCAGAAAGAATTCAAGAGCCAGAGAATCTGGGAGGAATGCTGTCTTCTGGACATGATATAGTTAATGAAATTATGACTCACAGCAGTGATCACCTGCACAAGACCTATCCAAGATCAAGACAGACAAAATTGCAGCATTAGTGGGGAGGTCCTCTCCAGGTCCCATCCCTACAGAAGGGTAACTGCTGGAGGAGGGAGGATCATTCTTTTCTGAAGCTGTGGACACTTGTAGGTTTCCCATGCTTCAGTGGAAGACCCCCCCTCCCATACACACAGGAAGCAATAACTTGACTTAGTGTGTTATAAAAAAAAAGACATGAAATTGGGAGGAAGACATGTTGGGGAAGATACAGAGGAAGTTGGAGGGAGGAAACATGAGGAAATGCAACCAGAGTTCATTATATACATGGTTGATGTTCTCAAAAATAAAATTAAAAGAATAGAAACAGACTCAGGAAAATAACTTGATGACAGTTTTGTTAGTGTTTGAGAGAAAAGCAGAGTGGGAAAAGGTAGAAAATCCCAACAGGGAGAAAAGAGATGGAGAAGAAGAGAGAAAAACATGCCTTTTGCAACAGAGGTTGGCAAGCTACATGGTAGACGGGGATGGTCCTTCAGAGAAAGAGTGAGAACGCTCAGAGTATCATGGAAAACATACGCAGGCCCTACCCAATATCTGAAAGAAAACGACACAGGTAGAAAATGACACTTTATGAATTAGAACTCAGAAAAGCAGATAGGCTTAGCGTTGACATATAAGCACATTATCTTATTAAGAGGATAATTATTCCTCCCACTACTTTAGCATATATTCAGGTGAATCTTCTTTTCATGGGGAGAGACTCATGGCTGGCTGACTGACTGCACCAGCTGGATTAACTCTTTAGGGAGGAGACAACAGTATGTAATATTCTAGTTTTTGGAGCAGATCAGAATGTCATGTTTTTCCCAGGGTTGGAGATAAAGTCAATTTTTAGATCAGGAGGACCAAGGAAGGACAAGTATGATGTTTTCCTTTCTAGTGTTACCTGGGAAATGGGAGGTGGAACCCAAAGCTGACTGTGAGGGAGGATTCATCTCCAGTGGCTTCTAATGCAATTAATCCTTGTCGAGCTACTTACCATCTATTAGCAATCCAAATGGTCAATTGCAAACCAAAGGGTGAAATGTACACCTCTGTGTCACAGCTTTTGGTGAGAAGTGGGCATGGGGAGGGGCTTGAGACTACTTCAGTGAATGTCAGGGTAACCAGTATTTCATGGCTTCTTTCTTTATGGGTTTTCAATCTTTCCATTACTTCAGTAAACTAGTTGTTGGATTAAACTCTCTATTTGAAGTTGCTAGAGTGTTTCTTTTTCTTCCTGAATTGGTTTTTACTGACACAATTCCACGTTCAAGAGTGCAGAAGAGAGCTATTATTTCTCAGCCTTCTTCAAAACCCTCTGAGTGGTGTCCCAGTTAAGATGCTTTTATCTGAAGCCAAGAGAAATCCGAACAGTTTAATTCAAGTGCAAGAAAAGGGGGTGGATTATGGAGGATGTACTTGAAGCATTGCACAGTAGCTCACAAACCTCTGCATGGAGGGGATCTGTGGCACAGGGTTAGGGCTAAGGAACTTGGAAATGAAAATATTCAGTGTGATGAGTGATACTGATTGTCAACTTGACAGGATCTAGAATCATCTAAAAGACAAACCTTTGACATGTGCATGAGGGAGTTTCCAGGTTGGGGAAATTGAGGTGGAAATACTCACCCTAAATGTGGATGGCTGCATGCCATGGTCTGGGGTTCATTACTAATTAAGAAGGAAAGCGAGCCGAGCCCAGCATTCATCTCTCTCTGCTTCCTGTGTGTGCAAATTACGGGCGACTGCCTCTCGTCTTACGTCTTTCCTGTCATGATACACTGTATCTTCGAACTGTGAGCTTAAAATGCATCCTTCCTTCCTTAATTTGCCTTTGTTAGGTGTGTTGTCACAAGGACCAGAAAAGTGACTGATACAGTCGGAAATAGCATGTAGGGTGCAGTAGGCATCTCATCTGTTTCTTTAGAGGTGTGTTCTGTTTCCATAAACTGATATTCTCTGTTTCAGGAGTAGAAGCCTGTTTAAGATTCTGTTCTGAAACCTCAAATGATCCTTCATGGTGGAAGAATCCTTGAGACAAAATTATTAAGTCAGTTTGAATTTTCTGTTCTCAGAAGATAAATGGTTTGAGTGGAGTTCTCTCTCCTGATAGTCCTCTGTGGGCAGGGAAACAGAGGCCAGGCATCCCTTCCTGGCTGACAGAGTACTGAGGGGAAAGGGACTCCTGGAGAGCTGAGCTCATTGTCTTGAGCAGGAGCAGCTCTGCTTCTCTAGGAGAAATATGACAGCCAGACACTATTTCTTGTCACTGCTGAGGAGATACTACTGAAGTTAGGTGGATAGAGTTCATAGATGTTGCTGACCCTGCCCATGTGCACTGACCAGCCTCCACCACAGAACATGCAGCCTAGCCTCTTAATAGCACTGAGATGAGATCTGTGCTGATATGCCGGGAAGGACCAGTGGGTACCAGCCAGACACCATGGAGAGTGACATGTGTATGGGAGCACTCAAAGAAGAAAATAATTGATGCATTTAGTTAGTATGGACATTTGCTTTATAAACTTCACATTTATTGGCTGATTGATTTGTGGTGTGTGTGTGTGTGTGTGTGTGTGTGTGTGTGTGTGTGTGTGTGTGTGTGTAGGCCCCAGCAGAGCATCCAAGTCCTTCTCTGTTGCTCTTTACCATATTCTCTTCAAACAGAATCTCTCACTGAGCCTGGATCCCAGCTGGTAACCAGTGAACCTCAGTGATCCATCTGTCTCTACCCCTTAGAGTCCTGGGAATACAGATGGATGCTCATCATGGCCATGTATAACTGATTTTTCATATGGGTGATGGGGATTTGAACTCACATCCTTGTGTGATCTCAGCAAGCGTTCCTATCCACTGAGACATCTTTCAGCCCTCTCTAAATATATTAAGTGCTTCATCAGCACCTTTGCTTTTGTTCTCCGTAATTCTGGAGAGCAAGTAATATCACCTCTGTCTCATGGAAACCAAACAAGAACAGGGCTCCTTCCCTCCAAAGCTCTTAACTGTAAGCCAGGAGGGTGACAGTGAAATTCTCTGTATCCTGTGGATCTGCCCTTGTCATCAGTTAAAGTACTTAGGATGCTATAAACAGCTTCTTAAGTGCTGAAGTTGTAAGTCTCACAAGTGACAGTAAATAATAACATCACTGTCACCAGCTGCTTGGAAGTGCTGAGAGATTGACAGGCAGATCACATTGTCTGTCACAGGCATTTGAATGTATCAAAAAGAGTGATTATGTAGGATGCTGCGAACAGGGCAAAGGGAATGGGAAACCTAGATGCAAGACCATGAAGCAACAAGTTCCCAGGACTGGGCTGTAGAGATGGCGTATGAGTTAGGAACATTTCCTGTTTTCTGAAGGACCTCAGTTTCATTTCCAGCATATTCCCACAAACTGCCTGTAACTCTAGCTCCAGGGGAACCTGCAGCCTCTTCTGGCCTACACTCATTCATGCACGCATGTACATAGTCACACATAAATTAAAAAAAGATTCCCAGGATTGATATTCTCGCAGATTTCCTTTTCTGCCTCTAGGCTTGTGGTCTGCCATCTGTTCTGTAGTGAGACCATTCTCATGCCGTAAGACAGGGTAATGGGGCTGGGAGAGGGCCCAGTTAATAAAGTGACCATAGTGCATGCACAAGGACCAGAGTTCCATCCCCAGAACTCACATTAAAATAAGTCAGACATGTTGGCTCCAAAGACAAGTGGATTCCTGCGGCTTGCTGGACACCTAGCCTAGCCCAATTAGCAAGCTCCAGACCATTGAGAAGCCCTTTTTCCAAATGCAAGATGGATATCTCTGAGGAATGACAACAAGGTTGCCCTCTGGCTTCTACACACATGCACTTCAGTGAGTATGCACACCCATGCATGCACATTCACATAGACAAGTGCACCTGCACACACTTGAACATGCATACACATTTCTATAAATGCACACGAGAGGGAGGGACGGGGGGAGAGAGAGGGAGAGAGAGAGAGAGAGAGAGAGAGAGAGAGAGAGAGAGAGAGAGGAGAGGTTCAATATTGTGCATATGTGACTTTGGCCAAACTTCTTAAACCCTTGGCTTAATTTTCTTACCTATCAGATGAGATGGGCATTCCTACCATTCCTGTTGATTAGATGAAATTGTCTGGTAAGAACTGAGTGAGCATTAACTTTCAGCAAATGTGCATTATAATAAATAACTCACTGGCTGCACATGTACTTACTGAGTTCCCATTGTAAGAAAAATGGCCACTTTTCTACTCCTGACACTGAAATCAGGGCAATGGCAAGAAGTGTTTCATGTCTCCTCTATGTTGGGCTCTGTTCCAAAAGTTTTAGCTAGTACCATACCTATAACACACTGAGGCATGTAGTATCTATCTATCTATCTATCTATCTATCTATCTATCTATCTATCTATCTATTTTATGAAAAATAGAATATATTTTTGTTTTGCCATATTCTGAGAATATTATAATAAAATAGTATTTTCAGAGTCAGAATTTTTAGAATGAGTGACTGAAAACCATTTTTCTACTTTTCAGGCCCATCACAAAATGTCAAGTTTAAAGTCAAATCCACTTTGTTCAGATCCAGGTGTACAGTAGAACCAGGTGTCCAGAACATCAGTTCCAGGGTCAGTGAACTAACCACTGTCATAATCGGATTTGGCTTGTGGGATGTTTCTGTGTGACCCCGAGCTAAGGATAGTGTTTGTGTTTTTCAGAGGCTTAACGACAACGAAGGTGCAGCACGGAACCATCTGTGGCCTCTAAAGTCTCAGCCATGTTGCTTGACCAGAAAATGGTTGCTTTTCCTGGTGGTGCTGAGTCTGTGGCTTGCAGCCATGAGGCCAAGATCCTGTGCATCTGATTCTTCCATGAGCAACTTTAAAGTCTGGAAAAGGGACCCTCTGGTGCTATATTCCAAATTCTTTTCTTTCCAGCTTTTTCTTCACCATCATCAAAACTCATCCTTATTTCTCTTTCCATTGATTAGAAGAACTTTTAATTTTTCATAAATTAAGGAAACGATAATTTTTGCACCACTGGAATTGATTTGCTTTTCCCAAATACTTTTGCTTGTTCTTTCATAGTAATAAAATTCAACACTTGGGTAGGCTTTTATACCAGCTTTCTGGCATGTTTGGGGATAAGTCTGACAGTGTACTTTGCCAGGTTTCACTTTCCATTTGATCATCCTGGCCAGGACATCAAACCCTAGAGCAAAATTCTGGCAAGATCTGCACCAAGGAGAATAGAAATCAACCACCCAGTGAGCCTTCTTTTGTAAAACATTTTTGTTGTTGTTGTTGAGAGTCTGGGGTGTTAAATCAGTGAGTAAAACCCAAGACTCCAGATTCCCAGGGAATAAATATCCCTATTCCAGCCATTGTAACTGTGATGTGGGTCATCTTTACTTGACTTTTGGGGATAAAAGCATATCTCAGAGTATCGTTGAACATTTCCTTAGGTATAAAAGGAATGATACTGTCAGCAGTCCACACTGCCCACATTGATCAGCCCACATAACATCCCCAGCCATTCTTTTCTATTCTGTCATTAAGGCCTGACAGGGATGACACCATGGAGACTAGAAATCAACCCTCAAGGCTTCATCATGTTTTCGTTCTTTAACTAGTTCATTGACAGTGGTGGGTGTAAGAGAGACCACTAACAGGTTTTTTAAATCCTCTAGGAATTTAAGATCTGTTCAGTGCAGTGATGTCCTTCTGCTGAAGACTGGGCTGGTTGATCCCGGTGTTGCTGTCTAAGCATGAATGTTGCATACATTCTGCAGAGTCCTTTGTGCACTGTACAATCTAATGCACCAGCGTTAAGCTGATCATAGAGAAGCATTTATGCTCTTTGTAACTTGGGCAGAAGAGCTTGACATGATGGACAGATGGACACCAAATAGCAAAGAACTCAATAAAGCATGGTTATTTGTTACTATCAGGGAAGTTTAGAGGCCCAAGTGTGGTGATGTGGGTTACCCAAAGTCATACAGCTAATGTAGCCAGGAGGATGCCCTCATGAAATCTGATTGTAGATATCACAGTCCTCGAACCCATTAAACATGAACCCTCAAGGATGTGCAGCAAGGGTTCACTTGAAATGCATGTGCCATGCTCATGGAAGGTTCTGGTATTCCTGGTAATGTATGATGAACTTATGGGGCTCTAGGTACACTATTTGGCTCAATATCTGGGGACCTTCTGGCCAAAGGAAGCTGTAACAATCACAGAAGATTTCAGCAGTGTGGGGGGATTCTTGGTAATGTGTGGGCAAATTAGTAGATACCAGGCTTGAGAATTGGTGTTTATGCCAGAGAGAAATGGATAGAGAGAGGAGAAAGAGAAAGAGAGAGAAAGAAGGAAATAAAGCAAAAAGGTGAGAGAAACAGAAGGATAGAGAGAAAGGAAGATAATGTGAAGAAGAGAATAAATGAGAAACAAGAACAGAGGGAGAACGAAAGAAAGAAGAAGAAGGAAAAAGAGAGAATGGAGAAAAAGAAACAAAGAGAGAAGAGACACACAGAGAGGTGAAGAAGGAAAGAGACAAAAGGGAAGAGACAATGGATAAGAGAAAAACAGGAAGAGAGAAGCAGAAAGATAGCACAAGATGAGGAGAGAAAGTGGGAGAAACAGAAAAAGATGAGAGAGGTAATGGGGAGATAAAGGAGAGAAAGTAAAAGAGTGGAGATGAGACAGAAAGGGAGAGAAAGGGAAGAGAGAGGGTGAAGGAAAGAGGGACGAGGGGAACGAGAGAGAGAGAGAGAGAGAGAGAGAGAGAGAGAGAGAGAGAGAGAGAGAGAGAACAAGAACACCCTGTAGCGGGTAGTTGTCTGAACCGTTCCCTGAAGCACTGCCCCTAGTGAGGCAGCTGTAGCCCTTATATCTGCCTATGACCCTGAGGTACCTGCCCGGGGTGTGGCCACCAGGGACTCATAAGTCCTGGAATGCAAGTAAGCCCTATCGCTTGGCTATCTCATGGTTTTAGATGCTGGGATCTTGGACCAAGCTGTTCAACGTGGGACATAGCTCCGCTTTCCTGGACCCTACGATAAATCTCCCGTGGTTGTGAATTTACCCCCAAATAAATTCCTTTCATTATTAAGCTGATTCTGTGGATTGCTAGTGATTTAATCACATTAATACCCAGTGCTTTATCTTTTGGAATGTCAGTAAGTAACTCTTTGGAGACAGAGATTTTAGAAAGGTGAAGCAATTAAAAAAGAGGCATTTAGAGGAGGCACTAATCCAAACAGAGCGTTGTCTTCCTAAGAGAGAAGCTGAAGAGTCCCAGATATACACATACAGAGAAAAATCCATAGCACAGAGACAGAAGGCAGCTGTTGGCTCAAGGAGAAAGAATCAAAGGTGTTCATGCCTTGACCAATATTTTCACTTCACATCTGTGAGGCTAGAATATCTGCTATTGAGGATGGAGAGATGGATCAGCAGTTAAGAACACTTGCTGCCCTTACAGAAGACTGGAGATTGGTTTCCAGCAGGTGACTCACAGCTACCTATAACTCCAGTTACAGGGGATCTGGCACCCTCTTCTGGCCTCCATGGGTATCTGCTTTCATGTGAGCACACACTCACAGACATAAACCATGCTGGTTATGTTTCTGTCAGCTTGACGCAAGCTAGGGTCAACTTGGAAGTGGGAACCCCAATTAGGAAAACATCTTCATCAAAGTGGCCTATAGGCAAGTATGAGGGGGGATGTTCTTGCTTGATGTGGGAGGACCCTTTCTACTTTGGGTGGTACCACTCCTGGGCTGGTAGTGCTGGGTTGTACAAGAAAGTAGACTAAAGAAGCCATGGGAAGCAAACCAGTAAGCAATGGTTACCCATGTTCTCTGCCTCAGTTCCTGCCTTGGGTTGAGCCCTGACTTCCCTTCGTGATGAACTATGAGCTATAAAAGGAAATAAACCCTTTCTTTCTCAAGTTGCTTTTGGTCAGGGTAGAAAGAGAAAGCCAGGTTACACACGTACACACCAATACAAATAAAATCTTTTAAAAACAGAAGTGTCCAACCTTGAAGTCACCCACTTTGCAGTTTTACTATGTAATTCTCAGTGGGCTAGTGTGACATTCAAAGCAACATTTCGGTAGCATGTCCTTACCTTGACACGGAACACAGTGGAGGGAGTCTGGAGTCTTCATTACCCTGCAATGACAGAGCAGCTGTGACCCAGGATGCTTCAAAGGCACAACCAGAAGAGACACAATGAGCTTAGGGCTCAGCAAGGGACATGCTGACAGCTGGTCACCCTGCAGTGCCAGTGTCTACTGCACCAAATGGAGCAGCCAAAGGCCCACCAGAGGTTTGCGGCTTCCTAAGAAATGGTAACAGAAGAAAGCAGACCACAGGGCAGCAGGAAGAACAGGCTATGTCCAATAGGGCGGCACAAGCCAGGAAGAACTATGAATGTCGCCTGTGTCTATGGAGATTCTAAAATATCACCCTTTGAAAATCTCTCTCTCTCTCTCTGCCTCCCCCCTCATGTGTGTGTGTGTGTGTGTGTGTGTGTGTGTGTGTGTGTGTGTCCATATGTATCATATATATGTGTAACACGAGTCTTAAAAGATCTTATTCATAAAATCAAACCCGGAGCCAGGTATTGGGGTGAATGCCGAAAGATCAGAGAGACAGAACAGGTCACAGCTAACCTCACCTCCATGACTTCTCAGCTGGTCCTGTTTCCTCAAACTGGAAGCTTCTGTGTCCTCATCTGAATAGATCTCAGCTGAACTGCTGCTCAAAAGCCTGAAAGCTTAACCAGGCTCTAGTACCTGATCTTCATGCCTTATATACCTTTCTGCTTCTTGCCATCACTTCCTGAGATTAAAGGCGTGTGTCACCATGTCTGGCTGTTTCCAGTGTGTCTTTGAACTCATAAAGACCCAGATGGATCTCTGCCTTTGCAATGCTAAGATTAAAAGTGTGTGTGCCACCATTTTCTGACCTCTGAATCTAGTGGTTGTTCTGTTCTCTGACCCCGGATAAGTTTATTAGGGTGCACAATATTTTGGGGAACACAATATCACCACATATATGTGTGTGTATTCTTGCATGGTGCATATGGGGGTGGTACATGAGGTGAAAATCAGAGGACAACCCTATGTATCAGTGGCAGCATTGTACCTTGTTTCAGAAGTCTTGTTTCTGTCACTGCGTTTGCCAGGCTGACTGGCCCACAAGCTTTCAGCGATTCCTTGTCTGTGCCTTCCATCTCCCTGTGCCTGGCTTTATGTGGATTCTAGTGATCCATAATTGGGTTCTCACACTTGTAAGGAAAATGTTCTACCTACTGGCCTATCTCTCTAGCCCCTAAAGTCTCTCAATATGGAGTTTTCAGGAATCTGAGGGCTTATGCACTGACAGTTCGTAAAAATGAACCAGAAAACTGAGCTTAGGTAGCCATATTAACATCCCATATGTGTCTGGAAGGGGGCCAGGCTTGGGGTCCACACCCTGGACCCAGAGCAGGCACTGAAGGATGAACTAATGGAAAAAGCTGCAGAGATTTGGGTAAGAACAGAAAGAGAGGACTCAGGAGAGTAAGTTAAGAAGACACAATCACTTACCAGGGTGATTAAGGAAGTTCTAATTAAAAGGACTCTGTAATTAGAAGTGCCTTGGAGATGGTTTATCGAGAGAGAAATCTGGACTGTTAACAGAGCTGACCACAGGCAGGAATTCAATGGAGTGAATACCAAGTGCACTCATTGAAAGGCAAGTCATAGACTAGAGAAAAGAAAGAAAAGGAAATATAATTGGAGGATTAAAAATAGCACTAATGGGGAGAGGATCCAAAAGTCCCATCCTTAGTTGAGGAGCTCTTGGTAGCTGTGGCTGTTGAGGGAAAGAGCATTAGTTGGCTTTGTAGTTGTTGCTAATGACAGGTTGCTCACACCCCAGTGGGTGACCCCACACCCATGCACATACTTAACTGACAAATATGGACTGTAAAGGAGATGTGTTATGAGGTTCTGAGAATAGCTGGAAGGAGGTAGGAGGTGGTAAATATAATCAAAATATATTGAACACATGTATAGAATTTTCAGTCAATAAAACATTAACAAAAGGAACAAAACCTTTAGAAGTAAA